GGCTTCTTACATTCAACTCCCACAATGAGCAATTTCACCAAACATCTGAAAATCTCGGGATGAATGTAGCTCAGTAAAAACGAAAGGGGCCACAGCTGGTAAAGGAACTGGTCAAAACACTTTCAGTCCTTCCAGTAAAGTGGTAAGTCACTGGTACGGCATGGCCGAGTTCACCGTATCCAGTTTTTTCACTAATTATTTTTTCAAAATAGGAAAGATCAAGATGCCAGTATCGCGTTTACGTACAGTTTTCTGAAAATCACCCATCCTCCCTGTCTGTCACATTGTCATACCACAGAAAAATGGATGGGCAGATTTCGCAACTCTATAATATACACAAATCTGAAGATGTTTTACCGAATCAACGTGCCGCCATCCGGTCGCAGCGTTGTTTGTATCTTCCGCTGTCGCTGTTCCAGAAGCAGCATTTTTTCCGCTTCCCGCCACTCCTCTACCCTGAAACAGACCAGTTTCTGGCTTCTTACATTCAACTTCCACAATGAGCAATTTCACTAAATATCTGAAAATCTCGGAATGAATCTAGCTCAGTAAAAACGAAAGGGGCCACAACTGGTAAAGGCACTGGCCAAAAAACTTTCACTCCTTCCAGTAAAGTGATAAGGCTTGGCGAAGTCCACCGTATCGCAGACTCCCAGTTTTTCCACTGCTTATTTTTTCAAAATAGGAGAGATCAAGATGCCAGTATCGCGTTTAAGTACAATTTTCTGGAAATCACCCATTCTCCCTGCCCGTCACATTGCCATGCCACAGAAAAACGGATGGGCGGATTTCGCAGCTCTACAGTATACACAAATTTGAAGATGTTTTACCGAGTCGACGTGTCGCCATCCGGTCGTTGTGTTGCCTGTTTCTTCCGCTGGTGTTGCTGGAGGTGCAGCGCTTTTCGCGTTTCCCGTTGTTCCTTTACCCTGAAACAGGTCAATGTCGTGCTTGTTACACTTACCTTACTACAAGTAATTTCGCCAAACATTTCGAAAAAATTTTTGGATAAAATTATCTGAGCAAACATGAGAGGGCAAGCGACTGGTAGGCCGCTGTGTTGGGAACAATTCCTGAAAGTTTCAGCCTCCCAGCTGTAGGCTGAGAGTTCACCGCATCCAACCAGTTCTACAGCCCAGAAGCATGGCTCGCATGCCCACAAAACTTTGAAAAACATCGCAGTACGACCCCGAATTTAACAAAAGCGCACCGCGTCGTAAATACCACCTTTCGCTATTCATTTTATCAATATTTAATAAAGGTAGCAAGATAGGCAAAAGCAGACAGTACCACACACATTTGTATTTGATACTATCTGCTTTTGTCTGGCATGTTTTTCGAATGTCATTCAATCTCCCGTATTTTTCCACTAAGCAAATCAAAAAAAAAGGCGATTCAGATTTTATGACCAATCTGAACTCTATAATACGCACATATCTGAAGATGCACTTACCGAGTCAACGTTACGCCGTCCGGTTGCATTGTTAACTGTTTCTACCACTGGCGTAGTCACGGAGGCAGCATTTTTCCCGCTTCCCGCCGCTCCTCTAGCCTATAATATACTACGTTTTTTCGCTTCCATTCAACTCTACTACGAACAGTTTCGTCAAACATTTTAAAAAAAATCAGTGGTTGAAGCTGTTTACATAAAATTGAGAGGATCTGCGATTGACAGGAAACAGTTTGACTGCACCAGTGCTCAAACCCAAATTGCAATCTAATTAATTTCTCGGAATTATGGGCAACAACAATTTGCCATGTAGCACTTCCAGAAACGCAGTTCAATCGCAAAACTGTGACAGCAAGCTGGACCGTGCAACCCGAGTTTTGAGGGTTGGGCAGATGCATTATATCTGTTTAGTAGCCTTACCCCACCGCGCCTTGGTGTTGCCTTCATCCATTCGGCGTCTGAGTTTGCTC